CCTGACGAATGGTGAATATGTGGTCGATGCAGCCACGACCAGGTCTGAAACCAGCTTGGTTTTCTCGTGTTTGCAGTTCACGAGTCTTAGTTAGGCGTCTGATAATTATCGAGGCTAGTATTTTAGATACTATATTAGTTAAACTAATCCCTCTGTGGTTGTCACAGGATGATTTTGACCCTTTCTTATATATTGGGACGATAAGTGATTGTGACCAGCTAGATGGAATAACGTCTAAATCCCAGATCTTAGCTAAAATATTAGTCAACCTAATCGCTAAAATTGGACCACCATCCTTAAAGACTTCTGGAACCAGCCCATCTGGTCCAGCTGCCCTTCCTCGTTTCAGATTATCTATAGCCTTTTGAACTTCAGCAAGAGTTGGGGGACCTACTTTAATGTTCCATTCACGCTGTCTGGGAATGGACGGTAGTTGTAGAGTCGCTGAAGGCCAGCTGAACTGTTCCCTAAAGTGTTCCGCCCATCGTTCTAAGTTTCTGGACTGGGAGTAGATGAGAGTATCGTCTTTTTCCGATATAATCTCACTTACACTTGACTTATTAATTCCAGTTTCTTTTATTAGTCTGTAAAGTTGTCTTGTGTTCCCTATAGTCGCCGCCTTTTCCATCTCTTTTGCTTTCGTTGCCCACCACTGCTCACGGTCGTTTCTTAAACTTTTTCTTAACCTAGATCTGATTTGTTGTCGCTCTTCATCATGTTCGGAACCTGATGGGACGAATTTGCGAGAATCCATCAGTGTAATAGACTTTGAGGAAATCCACTGGTTCTTGGAAACTCTGTGGTTTAAGTTGCTAATAGATGTCACTGCTGCTTCCACAGCTGCTTGTATGTCTTTCCAAGCAACATCTGGGTCAGCCTCGTGTTCAGAACTACTTAAGTGTGAATTCAGTTGTTCTTGGAACCTATTTTTGGTTTTCTCGTTACTCAACTCAGTTCTAATTGGTCTTTTTAATGTGGCTTTTTTGCGTCCGGTGAGGCGCAAGCAGATGCGTGTCCGTATTAGGGCATGATCGGAGTCCAAGCAGGTACTCCAGAATGAGCGACAATCTTCTACCGACCCTCTCCAACGATGACTGATGGCAATATGGTCTATTTGAGTCCATCGTTGGTTTGGTGTAGGGGGTCGCCATGTTAGACGATGTCTCTCCTTATGCTTAAAATTTGTGTTTGCTAAAAATAAGCGATTGTCTGAGCACAGTTGCAGCAGACGATCACCATTATCTGTTCGCTGTGCCGGAATGCTAAAATATCCACCTAAATGCCTTTCTGTTTGGTTTAAGCTACCTATCTGAGCATTAAAGTCACCCCCTACGAGTACTATGTCTGAGCGTTTAGCTTTCTGAAGAAGTTCAGAAAGCTTTCTGTAAAATTCATCCTTCACTTCATCGGAGCTGCAGTCAGTGGGAGCGTAGGCAGAAACGACAAAAAGGCAACGACGTGTGTCCCTATCCTTCCGAGTTCTTACGGATCCGTTTAGCCGAACAGCACATAGACGACTGTTGATGGGGATCCACTCTAGCAGTGCTTGTTCCGCCCTCATGCTTAGTGCTATGCCTACACCTGCCAGTCCACGAGAACTGGCCATCGGGTCACCAGATACACGTAAGGTGTATCTCGTTGGCTCTCCGTTTTGCCGAGGTGAGGTCAAGTGAATGACCACACTGGAATCCTGTATGCGTGTTTCGGAGACACAGCATACATCGATGGAAAGAGGCTCTAGGGTTTTAGCCAAGGAAGCCTGCTGACCGATTTGACATAAAGTGCGTACGTTGAAAGCTCCAATGTGTAGTTTGGAGCGAGGTTTCAGTAGACCTGGGACAGAGTTTTGAGCACTAGAATCGTTGGCTATGGTGACACTTGAGGAAGAAGCCGAAGGAGGAAGTTTAGGGTTGAAAGTCGATGTAGGAGGAATAATAGGAATTGAAGAGGAAGGTTGATTATGAATACAATGGTCTTGGGTGCTGTTAGAGGTATGAGGGCGGTTATCACTTCCCGGTTGCCCACACCGTGGAAGGGTTCTTCTGGAGGTACCTGAAAAGGAAATTGGATTAGAGGCGGTCTCAGCGACCTGAGAGCGTGACCGCAGTGCCCAAGGGACAACTGCTTGAGGTCGGTCGCGCACGGCCTTTCCGTGGAAGGTTTTTGACATGTTAGCTCCGTTCTTCAAAGGGCCTTACCGCCGGAGACGGAAATCCGTGAGGTAAGGTGAGGTGTGCATTTTTAGGGTCGACCTTTTCTAACCCCACCCCTCCTTGTGGGAAGGCAGCATCGCTGTCATGCTGGTTGTCTGAAGGAAACACCTTACTGCTGTCACACCTCTGTACAGTCAGCAGTACGACTTCGCCTTCGGACCTTAGGTTTGTTGCTTTTAGTCTTACCGCTCTTCAACCGACCTGTCTGACATGGTAGGACCTTGAGGAACGGTTGTTCCAGCCAGTATAGCTCGGTTGCTTCATCACGATAGGCAAGCCCGACCACCACGTCAAGGTAGCAACAACGGTCGGGGTAAGGGATTAATGAAAACTGATTATTCAGAGTAGAAAGAAAAAATGGGTTTAGGATGAATATAAGCTGAGAGATTAAATATAATGCCTTCATATACAGTCTAAACTACAGTCAATGGATTGCTGAAATCCTCTTCAGTGCGCTCAATTTTTTTATTCGTACCCCATTTGAGCTAGTTAAAATGATCGTATAGTTTACTTTGGAAGATTATCATCATGAGATAATATAATCGGAATTTACAAGGTGTACAATAATAAGCTATTGAATATTTCGTTTGACAATGACCCAGAATAATATTGCAAGATTTATTTTGAAAAAGTTCACTTTTTATCTACTAATTTATGACACAAATTCAGTGTATCTTCCATCAGACCACTCTTTATGTTAAATTAATATAGATACGGTTATACAGTCTCAGTAAATGATATCGTCGTAAAGAACCTTCTTTGTTAAAGTTCTTAATACTTTCATTGAGTACGTATGTGCTATTTTTTTTTTGGTTCACTTAGTTGTGATTATCCACTTCATCTTTTATAATTCCAAAGTAAGCTAACTGAAATCATTTAAATAAAGAGTAAAACAGAGCAAAGAAATATTTACGTTCCAACATTTACAATTTGAAATCATGAAGAATATTTGCAGTTTAAGATGCGAATGAGAATATAACACCCCTCATAAATGTCATATTTATTCACAATTTGTAATATAACGCTTTAAATGTTTATGTTATATCAGCTATTTATCATTTTGTCAAGTAATTCCTGTTAATGTTACTGTATATTTCTTTTTCTTTTTCTATTATTACTCATATTATATCTAGTTATTGTAATTAACATTTTCTTTATCTACATTCTTAAGTAAACATTCAAATAGAATCAAGATTATTAATAACATTAATGTTTGAAATAATCTCAGCGATTGAAATTTCAATAATTCCAACGTCTCGTCTAGAAAACCTGTTTAGACTCATGTTATCCTACTCACTAAAGTTAACATTCTAATTACCACTAAATAAGCAAATCCAGACAAGTTTGCTGGACTAAACGTTGGAATTATTTAAATTTCAACCGTTGAGATTATTTCAAATATAGTTTTCACAAATGTCTTTTTTTATATTCGGCGCCTGAATTCTGTCAAACTATACGTTCTAATATTGAGGAATATTCATATATATTATTGTTTTCTATTCAGAAATATCCCTTTTAAAATAAATTGAAATACCTTCGATCGTTCAACAGTATACAGTTGTAATTCTCATGATTACTGTATTTTTCGGATTGATATACTATATCCAATAATGTTAATAAATTGGGTTTCATAGACTACGACTTATTTAAGTCATGTAACGATACATCATCACTGATATGTGCTTAACTTAATTCATGATAGTAGTATTCAAACAATGGGACACTACAATGTAACTTTTGTAAAATATATGATGAAGACTAATAGTTATGGTGATCATTTAGGTGAGTTTAAACGTTTGAGCCAGTGTCAATCTTTCGGGAGGGATATAAATTTGTCAAATTTATGCCTAAAATAAAACAAATTCTATTCCATGCAAGAAATCACATTAATATGTAGGTATCACCATCAAGGTTTGATTTGATAATTTCGAATAAACTGAGCATTAGGTAGATTGTTATAAGTAAATAATATATTTTCAATATCCCAATGAGTAAAAAAATTAGGTTTTCTGACGTTTCGTGACTCAGTGTGAGCCACTTCTTCAGAGAATAAGTAACCAAATTAAAATTAATCCATGTTTAAATAGTACGACGGAACAATAAGAATAGTATGTGATCAATCAAAAATCAGATCTGAACAAGTTCGACTTGATTGATCGCATACTATTCATATTGTTCCGTCGTACTATTTAAACATGGATTAATTTTAATTTGGTTACTTATTCTCTGAAGAAGTGGCTCACACTGAGTCACGAAACGTCAGAAAATCTAATTTTTCTATTCATTGGGATATTACAAAGCTATTACTGATCACATTAATAGTTGGTTCCGTTTAAATAAAATATATTAGGGGATATGTGGAGATTGTAGTATTTTCAAAATTGAATTCACAAGCCAATCTAAGCTAGACCAACATTGAAAACTTGGAAGCACTGGACAACCATTTTATCCTAAAATAGGACTCCTTAAAAGTGAGCGTTTACGATTCCACATACATGACTTGCACCCAGAAATATCAGTCTCCGGCGTGATCCTGCATGCGTGGTCGGGGACGAGTACTGCTTAAGAGTCCCATACTAGGACGAAAGGGCCACACATTGCTTCAAGGCTTTCATTGGTGGTTTAGCTTAGATCGAATCGTGAATTCAACTTTGTAAATCAAATATGTTAATGAAAGTTTATGTCAAAGTAATTTTTTTATTTAAATTTCAAAGCATTTATAAATTAATTTCTGTATGGTAAATTTTTAATCCGGAGTTTACTCTTTTGTTGCTGTTAATATTTCAGTATCTCATTGGTTAGGTGGGACTGTGGCAGCTGCAAACAACGCTGTTGATGGAATACAACTTGGTTGTGATTTTCGTTATTTATTGAATTCTGACTTATTGAATGAAATTCCTAATGATTTAACAGTTAATTCTGTTAATCAATACAAATCATCAGTTAAATCAAAAAGTTCACTTGGAATTGGAAATTGTGCTTTATATACTGGAACATCTATGCAGTATGTTTCTGTAGATCCTTGTCATAGTCAAGAAGAAGGTGCATGTCTTGCTGGATTCAGTGCAGATGTAAAAGCAGGTGAATGATTTATTTATCTTTTATTTAAATCCCAAGGAGACTATATTTTAAGCTGTCTAATATAAGAATGGCGAACAATTATTCGAAATCTGATATACTTGTTTGAAAGTTAGTTTAACATAGAAGTGAGACAAGAACTCACTGCTGATAATTAATTTAGTGTTCTTTGAGTCATTAAACTGATTAAAATTAAATAATGTTAACATTTGGCTACCGAGTCAGTCGTGTTTAAGGTATCTCGTTGATTGTGAGATGAGAACGTAATGATTTGAATTTCCGAATGGATGTAGGCATATACCACTGAATAGACTACAATATAACGATACGGATGTTCTGTATTCCATAGTTTTTAGACGTTTCTCACTGGATGTTAATTTGTAGTATAAGCTTTTTTCAAAGTTTAAATAAATCACCCAGGTAGATTATTTAATTTTAGTTGGACAAAATTGTCAAAAAGAAACATGTGACTCCAAAAACATATATGCTTACAGATGTTTGTAGGCGACAAACCGAAGGCCATACATTTTTCACAGCATAATTCATGTGAAATGGTTTCGAAATACAACATAAATGTCCTGCTTATCGAGATACATAAAATAAGAATGTAGTAAATATTGTTTGTATTTACGAGCTATCCACAAAAGATTGAGTTTTCCGGAATTATTATTGAAGATATATTTGAATCCATAAGTGGTGACTTCATACTTTATAATAATTTACTTGATCTTTCAAAAAAAGCGTAGTCGCTGCTACGTTCTTGTATTACTTTGAGGACTGATCTTAGTTCGATAACCATTAAAGACCAGGAAGCATTAAATAGTCGTTTCGTCCAGTTATGTAGATCCTCAGCACTACTCATCCACGGACCTATCAGAGATCGAAAATAGGTAACACAGAGACAGCTTCACCTTCAAGCGATTAAGTCGGCAACAAACAGTTTACATATTCTTAGTAGGAAGTGAACATTTAAGAAACACATGTTACTGATTTATATTGATTTAATAATAAACTATCGGTTCAGTGCTACTTACAACAAATCTCCAAATGATCTCAGTCCTAGATGAAAACTAACATTCACTGACGAAACCTTCAGAACATTTCATAGTTTCTTTAGAAAGATATTCATTTGATCCATTAATCTGTTTTCTTTTTTGACATTCTTTACCAAATAGGTAATCAATCCGGTGAAGCATTAGTTGCTTTAGGAATGCCTGGAAGTTATTTGACTGAGGGAAATGTCTTTCTAGGTCGTTATCGTGGTCGTGAATTAATCAATGCAATCCGATTGAAAAGTTCATCACATGATTTAAAGCATAAAGGATTTGGTTTAGGATATGCTATTGCTTTAGCCAAATTAAATAATGATAATAACAAACTTAGTGGACAACACAAAAATTTACAATCAGATGACCAACAACATTTTCAGTCAAATATTAACATCATTACATCAAGTCCAATGTGGATTGATAATGACTATCGTGGAATTATTATGATATTAAATCAAGCTATGGATTTAGGTGGAGTAAGTATTGAATATTCTGACTTTATTTTCTCATATTATTATTGGTTTGCACTCAATGATATGAAAATATATGTTTACTGGTTTTTCAGGAGTATCAGGGAGTTTTTGCATTCTACCTTTAGATGTCTCTAATAGTTTTGACTTATTTGCCATCTGTATAAACTTATTATTTACCTAAATGTCAATTTTTTTTACTTATCAATAGCTAACATCTAAAACTAAGTTAGGTCAAATTTACTTCATACAAGGTAGTTCCGTTAAGTAACAATTCAGTATTAGTTGTACAATGTTTCCATAGGATGTTTCTATAGTAATGAAAATGTATCAAATGTACCGTAATATATAAATCTTCCTCCAATCAACGGGTTTAGTACATAGACCAACTAAAAATTATTCTGTGATGAACAGTAGGATTTATGAGACAGAGTTATTTTGATTTGTATAACTTACATAATGGAACGTGTATGATTCGTAAAACAAACCGAAAAACTTCCTGTATCTATTCAAAAGTTTTATTTTTTATAGCAGAATGAACATAAAACTGATTGAATTCGGCAACATTCATACCATATTATGAAATGACTGAAATTGTAAGCAGAAATCTTTTCCAACTATGTATTCTAAAGGTAACTTGTCTCACCCAATTTTTGGAAGTGTCTTGAATGTTAACTGTTTGTACAAAAATTTCTGAATAGGATGAAGCAGATACCCGATGTACTATAACTTTAATTGATCAATCAATTCTAACAATCAATTCCAAACTAATCAATCTGCATAAATCTTCATTTTTCAAATACTTGATTTGATACACCCAAAAGTCAAATTTTCATATCTGATTAACCGGTTATAGATGTTTAAATACATGAAATAATATTATCAGTAATCAGTAATAATAATATTGTTGAAAGTACTATTATTATGAATTCAAACGATAATGACCAGATTTAAAGCTCTGTTTATTTTGGTAGACATAAAATTTGCAGATTGAGATCACTTTATGACGTAAAGCAGCAAGAAGAACAAAGTACACTTTGTAATTGGTCATTGGTGTACAGAAGTTTATTGGTAGAAAATCACTTACTAACTGGAGTACTGAATGATACATGTTTGAATCTCAGAAGGATTATCTATTCTCTTGAGATTTCTAATACTTCATACTTATAAAAGATCTATATTTCTAGCTTTCTAACCTTTACACTTTACTGCCTAACACTAAAAAAACCATAGTTCTCTTTTTTCTACTAATTTTCTATTGGAATAACAAGTTTTGAAACGTAACAATATGTTTGCATAGTCAGCTTTAAATCACGTTTTGTACTTAAGGGCTAATGTAAGTAATCAGTCCCTCAGGTTAAAATTTTGTGGAACAGGGTCAAAGCTAAAAGCTAGGGATTTAATGTAGAATGTTTTAAAAATTAAGTTATCACTTCCAGTGATAAATAGTGTTGAACAAATAGCGAAGATTTGTTATATCATGAACTAAGTAGAAAGATATAGGTAAATAGCAATCATTTATTCAACTCAGCAACAATAAAATCTATTTAGATTAAAGTTAATTTTCATTAATGACTAACGCTAGCCTGTAACTAAATAAAAAATAAAGGGTTTCAAAAATCCCATCTTTTATCCAGTGTTCTTAATTGGCAGACAACTACAAACATGAGATCTGATACGGACTGGTGAAGGGTTTACATATTTTTAGTAGTCTTAGTAATCGCTCTTATTTTATCATCAACACTTATTTTTCGGTGATGTCAAAACTTATGATTATTTCTTGTGAATGTAAATATTTTCGTTACATTTTGATTATTTCGTCTTATGATTCTAAAATATATTTATCATTGTATGTCAATTAAATGGTCTTCAAGTAAAGAAAATTCAAGCGGAGAAAATTATCTTTCAAACGAAATCATTTACTTAAGCTGTATATTCGTATTTGTAGTTTTATGTACATAGAAGGATAGAAAAGATTGCATTATAAATTGATTCGAGAATCAGGGAAAATATCTTCTCTTACCCCTTGATTAATAAGTAACCTCACTTGACGATAAAAGTCTCGGATAAATTTGTGATGCAATCTTTTCTATCCTTCTATAGACATATATATTTAAAATCAGAGAAGAATTTTGTGGATATTATATTAATTTAATAGTTGAATTCATGAGTCGATTGAAGCTAAACCACTATTGAAAACCTGGAAGCACTGAACGGCCGTTTCGTCCTAGTATGGGACTTCTCATCAGTTCACACCCACAATCCCACCTCGCGAGATTCAAACCCAGAACCCATTAGTCGCGTGCAAGCGCTTAACCACTAGACCACTGAGCCGCCATTCAGAGGTGTTAATGTCTAATTTCAACCAACCCAATACTTAAAAGACAACTATAAACATTAATGTACAGCTTAAGTAAATGATTTCTTTAAACGAAAAATTTTCTTCGCTTGAATTCTTCTTATTTTTATTTAATGAAACAAAAGTCTTCAAGTTTAAGGTCTAGATAACGAAAATATCGTAAAATTATATTGTGTTCATTTTTAATCTGATGTATGAATGATTCCATATTAAAATTACCAGTAGATATTCTCAACTGTATCCAATGGCCAATATAATTAAGTTTGTACTGTTTAAATATTTAACCTGTTAAATAAAATAGTCTGGGAAATTAATTTTGTTCATCAAAGTAAATCAGTACGCATTTTGAATTTGGTGCTAAATGTTTATAAGACATACATACCATTAGCTTCTTCTTTTCGTGCAAGTAGTTCTCTTGATAAACTTTTAAAAAAATACAAAAACTTCAGACATGATGGGATAAAATGAATACTTCTAGATACTTTATGTACTGTAAATCATTTACAAATTCTACGATTTATATGAATAAACATATGACGTTATCCAAATGTAATTGGTGGGTAAAATGTATAAATTCTAGTGAAAATCTAGCGAAAAATCATCGCTGAAAAAAGTTGTAACTACTTTCCGTATTCATACAAGTTAATAGATAGACAAACGGAATAACTGAGAGAGCGAAATAGAGTATGTGTATGACGTACTTAAATGTAAGGAATATCCGCAAAATGTTATGATTGTGGTAAGCAGCGTAATAAAAAAGAAAATGATTGCAAAAAATAATGACAACGTAACCATGATAATGGCGATAGTAATTAATATAGTGTGAGAAAACTAATTTACTTGAATGACTAAATTGATAGGGGTCAAACATTTTATTAAATAATCTTAAAAAAAAACTATAACCATAAATTAGATTGAAAAAAATGACTGAAATATATGGTGAACTTGTTATTAGGAATATAGATTAAACAAATAAAATGAAACATTAAGGAAGGGAACTGTTAGAGTAAGCTTGTCACTACACTAATGCCAGATGTAAACATAGACGAATAATTATTACTTCTATAAAACGTAGATGTTTGCCATTATTTCGCCTACTTACTGATTACGTCACATAATCTCTCGTCTATTCCATCCGTCAACAAATTAAACTTGTGTGAATATGAAAAACCAATCATAATTGTTTTTCACTGGTGAACTGATATAACTTTATGCATGTTACACATAATATTGTATTTGTATAAAATTTTATTTATTTATACAATTCCGTGAGTCTGTGAAAGAATCCAAGTGAAAGAAATGATGAAATGAATTCACTCCAACCTACAAAGCGTTTTATTGTCACTTTACTAAATACGATATTAGAAAATATACTGTTGCATTACTTACTTACTTACCACTTTACTTCTGTTACTTCTCGTGAAGGAGCATCCACCGGCAATCTCCGTCCAACTCTGTCAGAGGCAGCCTTTTCCGTTTGTTTTCAGTTGATATTCATCCTTTTGATATATGCTTCCAAGTTCCAACACATTGTGTTCTTTGGTCTTTCTCTTTTCCGTTTCCCTTAAGGATTTCAATTTAGCGCTTGCTCAAGTGATGTATTTTTGATGATTTTCGTAATGTATGTCGTCCACTTTCAGCATCTTTTCCTAATTTCCTCTTCAAATGGAAGCTAATATGTTCTCTCCCATAGTAGACTGTTGCTGACTATTGCATTAGACCACTAAAATTTTTTAATCATAATGAAATCAAGAGTTTATGCTTATCATATGCTCTTTAAGTAATATTTATACATAGATCCAACATTAGTTAACCTTTTATGATAATTTTTGAGATTGACTTATAATAATCAGATAAATGTGTATATATTTTTCAAAAGAATAATAATTTTCCGCTCATTTTTTAAATGATTAGATCACAAAGTTTTATATTACAATGTTTTATCTTCGTTACTATTTATATTTTATAAATAGATAACTTATTTGAAAGATAAATGGAGTCATGTTGGAAGTTATTTTGGATATAGGTAAGTAAATTAATAATCTTAATATTTTATCTTATAATTTTTAATAGTTTTTTTCAATTATATCGAAAAACGTAGGAACTTAGACGTTTTTTTTAAATTGACTTCGAAATTTGTTTTAATTACTCTGGCCAAATATAAAAATCAGAAGATCAGTAATATAGATTACGTAATCACTATAGGAATTCTACTTCATCAGTCATGTAATTATTCATTTTTTTCCATCAATTATTACAACTTATAATCATAAGCCTTCCTGCAAATTACATTTAATTTAGTAAAACTAAAACCAATTATATATCATTCAGTGTATTAAACGATTCAATAATATCAGAAGGGGTTTGTGGAGATTTTAGAAATTTTCACAGATTTAAATCATGAGTCAGTTGAAGCTAGACCACCATTGAAAACCTGGAAGCACTGGACGGCCGTTTCGTCCTAATATGGGACTCCTCAGCAGTGCGCATCCACGATCCCGCACCACGCGGGGCTCGAACCCAGGACCTACTGGCTTCGCGCGCGAGCACTTAACCATTAGACCACTGAGCCGGCATCCAACGGTGTTAATGTCTAACTTCAACCAATCCACGAAGTCACGCCACCGTACACCATTGTCTTCAGTGAGCTGATATCTCACAACAGACCTGGTTGAACTCCACTGGTAACGGCTTCCCACTAGAACTCCAGGAGTATCTCTTGAAGTCAGTCACTAGTGAGCAGATGATTATTATCAGAAGTATTAGTTGACGTTAGACAATAACACCGCTGGTTGCCGGCTCAGTGGTCTAATGGTTAAGTGCTCGCGCGCGGAGCCAGTAGGTCCAGGGCTCAAACCCCGCGGGGTGGGGGATTGTGGATGCTGAGGAGTCCCATACTGGGACGAAGCGGCCATCCAGTGCTTCCACGTTTTCAATGTCGTCTAGCTTCAACTGATTCATGATTCAATAATACTATGTAGAGTTTAAATCAGTTTTTTCTAAAGGAAAGAGTTCTCTTTGTGAGGTAACGTTCAAACTTAACAGTCTATATTTATTTGTGATATAATATATTACTACATGAAATGATAAGCTGATTAAGAGTTAAGTAATAAATTTTATTAACATAAAGGTTTAAGTGATACTGCTGTATTCCAAGTTAATTTTTACCACTAATCAACATTACTGAAGAACTACAGAGCAATGAATAACATTGTCGTTACGTTTTAAAACTTCTCACTTTAATCTAACACTATCACCATAAATATAAGTCTCAACTTAGTCAGTAATTACTGTATGATTATATGTAAAGAATTCATGATAGATATTCGATTTAAAATTAGTTTTAATGAGTAGACTAATGTTATCTGAGTGAACAATACAAAGAAATATACTGTTTAATGATTTCCAATATATCTATCATTACAATAAGCTTTGAATTAATGTCAGTGATGAAATTACATTTTTAGAGAAAATACTTTACAATTAAAATAATGAGGTTTTCAAACAATTAAATGATACCAGTTGAATTAATAAGTCGATCTAAACTAGACCATCATTGAAAGCCTGAAAGTGTGGGACGCTCGTTTACTCCTTGCATGAAACTCCTCAGCAGTGTGCATCCATAATCCCGCACGCAAGACTCGAACCCAGGATTTTCGGTCTTGAAGTCAAACGCTAATGGCTCGTGAACTCAACTGCTAAAATACTACAATCTCCAGAAATACCCATACAAAGAATAAAATGATAAATAACAAAATATTCTATCATTATTGGTGCATCCTTCAATATTGTTATGAAGTATAGGAACTATAGGACAACTATTCAGTCCTAGTATGCAACTCAGCATTAAGTAAATACGACCCTAACAGCATTTAAACTCAGGACCTTTGAGTTTACCGCAAGCGCCTGACCTTTATTGTTTTGGTGTAAATTTGTAATATTGTGCCACCAACTTCCAATGTCAAATAGTTTTTTTAAGTGATAAGACTACTGTAATAAATATTCATATAAACGTGTAAGTATGAAATAACTAAGTTACAGAGTTTAGCTTTCTTGTTTTGAGATTTAAGTCAATAATGTTTGTCTATGAATGACGCGGTTTAAGGTAAAACTTAGCGCATGATAATATGCCTTTGTCTGTTCACTATGCAACCAAACAATCCGATTTTTCATAATCAAAACCCAATATATAAATGTTCAGTTCTGAAATCCTTACCATATGTGAAAAGCCATTCCAAACCTTATTGTTGATAAAGCCTTACAACAAGCCTATCCAGGTATATAATTAGTATAATTTCCTTTCTACATGAAATCCCGGACAATCAAGTGTTAAAAATCATTAATAAATACAATGAAGCACTCTTTAGTGTGACTGGTTAGCAGTTAACCAATCAGAAAAGAAAGTCTATGTTACTTTTTTATAACTCATTTTCGATTTCAATAATCATTTGAATATCTCCATGTCTAAATTTGATTTCGTTTACTAGACCTCCTGATTTTGTAACAACTCTCAATTCTTATTAGTAGGTTGGTGAGAAAGTTAAGTAAGACCATCACAGTTTCATGATAATTATATTTTAGAAAAGATGGAAGCCTGAAACAAATTTTTCTATATTAATAGTAATTACTTTGAACGATCTAAATTTGGTCAACTTTTACATTAAACCTAATGACTTTTATGACAGAGACCATTTGAAGCATAACTGAACCATATTTAATAGCAAAGTATTGAAATATGGATTAGTGAATATGATCTACCTAATATCTTTTCTATAACGGCATATCATTTCCTAATAATGCTCCACTCAATATTTTCAGTTCATGAACTAAGCAAAGCTCAATCTAACCATTAAATGTTTTAAAATGTCAGTCGATTTCTGACTTTAAGTTGATGGTTGTTAAACTCCAAGTGTTTCAAATTTGAACAAATAAGACAATCTATTTGCCCTGGTTGTAAAAATGATGCTCTTTAATAATAAATACTAACTTCATTTCTCTTGTGAATAAGTAACTACCAAGAAAAATACAGGATAATATTCACTAATCAGTTTTTACTAAATTTAACTAGTGTTCATTGCTTGAAATAGGAAGTTTAGGGCTCAGAATAAATTTTTTTAATACTGAAGTAGCATTTACTGAACATCGAAACAACAGTGTAATTAACTTAATTATGTACTTTCGTAAAACTTCCCACATTTTTCTTTATTAATTTATATTAAATAGGTTTTATCAAAATATCTTTTATAAAAATGTTAATTACCGCACTTTATTTGTATGACTAATTTATGTTATTTCCTACAAATACGTAAAGGTAGATAAATACGTGAATTTTATTTATGCATTTATCTAATTCACCAATTAATTCATTAAACATTTAGTTAGAATTCAGACTAATTAATTAATCATTCTAAGTAATAACACTTATTGTTGACAAGTCAGTGTATTATTTTCAAAATATTTATCATTTCCACCATTGTTTTATCCAATTCGTCAAAATAACCCCTTTTTTCATTGTCTGGAGGTTTTTAATCAGACAGATTTATATGCCTACTACTAAGTAAATCTACTACATATTAGTTGCTAAAAGGTCATCTATTGGTTGTTATAGTATGCACATTTTATAGAACATTAATATAATGAGTTCATGATGTGGTCATTAAATTAAATCATTAGAAAGCTTAGAATATTTCAGTTAGTAATATATGACTGAAAGTAACACGTGAAATCATAATAACGATCTTATAAATGACCAGTATGACCATGACCAGCGAAGCTTATTCGTATCGAATGTGAGACAGTTACTCACCAAAGACAATGAAAGGAAGTCTCGCAATATTATAGATTGATTGAAGTTAGACATCAACACCGTTGAATACCAGTTTAGTGGTCTAGAAGTTAAGCATTCGTAAGCGAGACTGGAGATTCTGAGTTCTAATTCTGCTTGAGGAATAGTGGATACACAATATCAAGGCGTTCCATACTAGGACTAAACGACTATCCAGTACTTTCAAGTTTTCAATGGTAGTCTAACATTGACCGTTTCATGATCTCAATCAAAACTCAGTGATCTTCACAACCCTGTAATTGATGAATCGGATTTTTAATAAGATCTCATTTTTGAGGATTATGGACGTATAAAGATACAGATGTTCAGTGCTTCATCATTTTTAACAGTTTTCCAAATGATATAATTTATGTGATATAATCTACTTCTTAAATATGCAGATGTATAGAAATAATCTAAATGAATTGTTTTATTTAGTTTAGTAAACTATTGAATAAAAAAAAATGGGGATATTTCAATATGTTTTTATCCACACAGATGTTTTAAGGAGATAAATAGAAAGTTATAAATAGTTTACTCTTAGACACATTTATTTCATAGATAGCAATATTCACTATGAAATTTCACGATATGATTATATAATTGACTATTGAATTCCAATTTGAATTCGTTAATTATTTATTAAAATGAATCCCATTGAAATATTTTATAATAATACTGTTTATCAGATAAGAATTTCATTAAGGAAAAATGTTCAACATTTGTAAGAATGCGTTTAAATATTGATTGTTTAAATCTGATAAAAAAAAATCTATTATAAAATCCGTTGAACTTTAATTAAAATTTATTATCGATTTTTATATAATTTTAAAGATAACTTGAGATGATTAATTAAATATTTGGATGATCAGGTTGTAAGAATTTTCGAACTAAACAAAACAAAAAGGAATGTGAAAATAACCGAATTGCATTGATAATACTTTCCGACCTTTATTTCTGAACGTTGACATTGAAATGTAGGTGAATGAATAACAGTTTTAATGGAGATTATGAACCAACCAATGTTAGACTACCATTGAAAACTTGAAAGTACTGGATAGTCGTTTAGTCCTAGTATGGAACGCCTTGATATTGTGTATCCACTATTCCTCAAGCAGAATTAGAACTCAGAATCTCCAGTCTCGCTTACGAATGCTTAGCTTCTAGACCACTAAACTGGTATTCAACCGTGCTGATGTCTAATTTCAATCGATCCATGATACTGAGCAACCATATTTGGTGAGTAACTGCCTAACATTCGACAGGGTTGAACTCCACACGTCATGTCTTCTTACTGGAACTCCGAGAATTTCCTCTCAAATTTAGTCACCAGTCAGTACATGATCGTGGATGCACACTGCTGAGAAGTCCCGCACTAGGAAGAAACTGCCGTTCATTGCTTCCAGGTTTTTAATTAAAACTTAACAATCTCCTCAACCCTATGCTGATATTAACATTTTTGTTTTAATTCAAAACTCATCTATTTAGATAATTAGGCATATGTCCACTTGCAAGTTGTTGAATGTGTTTTCTTATCCATTCCCTTTATATCTATCTTGTAAATACATACAGTTTGCAAACAACAAGCCATAAACTCATAGTCAGATAGATTTAATCATAAATTTAAAATAAGTTGAATAATTTATTAACCGTAGTAAGATTTCAAAAATGAATATACAAATAATCGGATTTGAAATCGGTCACACCAATCTCATAAATATTATATTGAAACGTTAATAATTAGAGAGGTCAATCTGAATTTATTAAAAATGATTATAATCTTTTATTTTATAAATGAATTTATTAAAAAGTGATTAATTTTAATGTTAAACATTTGATTTTTGTTTTCTTCAGTCTTGCTGTCGCAGATCTTGATGGAAATGGTCTAGTTGATATTATTGTTGGTGCACCATATTTTACTCGACGCCAAAATCAAGAAGGATCACAAGATACAATAAATTCAAAGCAATTTAATCATAATGAAGGTATTCAATGGTCGAATCTTCTACCTGACATTGGAAGAGTTTATATCTTTTACGGAAATCATTTAAATTTATCTAATTTACTTAGTGACTCTAAGCAAAGACCAGAAATCCCAGATTATTTCACTCAAGATCCTGTGATTTTAGACGGACCGAAATCCCCTAAAGGTCGATTCGGTCATGCCTTAACAAATATTGGTGATATCGATGGTGATGGAACTGAGGATTTAGCTGTCAGTTGTCCTTATTGTACTGATCCTGATGGACGAACAGATAAGGGAGCTGTTTTCATTTATTTAGGCAAGAAAGACTCCATACTGGATACAAAACCTTTCCAGGTAATCAACTATTCAGTTATGGGATTTCTAAATTTGTTTTAACTTTAAAAACCATAGAAATAATTATTTAAGTATGGCAAGATTTAAAAACAAATTTACAGATTAGATCTCTCTTATCAATAACCAATTTTACAGTATAAAGAAAACATCCTGCCTTCAATCTTCACAGGAAAAAAGATGGTTATGATCGAATTATTCTCCGTAGAAGTGAAAATAATACATTAATCAAATTTAATATTAATTGTTTTAATTCAGTTTTGTATTGGTTGTCTGAGTTTTCCCATTGATGCAGGTGTACCCAGCTGACGAGTCATGAATGGGACGAAACTCGCGTCCTGAATTCCTCTGCTAGCCACCATCCATCTATGCTTATTAATCGTTTTTTTATATAGTCCTTCTATGATTTCTAACTGGTCTTTGTTGATATGGGCAATAAGTCAAGTGATTTACTCAAAATTTATACTGTAATTAATATAAAGTGTCTAATGGACATCACCAACTTCAAATATATATTCGTATCATCCACTATTCGTCAACGTTAGGAAATTATATGGAACCGTGATGTGAAAGGTGGCGTTATAGGATGGATATATCGGTCTATAATTATTCTTTAACTATGGTTTTAGATTTGGTACAGCTTGGTGACCTAACTCTTTCAAATACGGCTCCGAATAGAATCTAGAAGCGATCATACTATAGCCCTTTGTTACATTTATCATAAAATTGATAGGAACTCCGTCTGCTTTGGTTGTAATTTTTTATCTGAGCAGGATTTTCAACCAAACATTTTTCTCAATTATTCATTTACAGTTGACCAATTAAATAATTCTTTGATAGTTTTCAAGCATAAATATTTGGCTCAAGGTTTTTCGTGATCGCCAATTTCAATAAAAAGTCAAATAAAATCTGAGGCGTGACTAAAATTTATAGGCGAGCCAATTAGAAGCGTTTGGGGGATTTCAAGGTCATAGTGTCAATATCAGTGCCTGATGCTAACGTATGATGGGTTCACAGCGGATTTTAGAGAAAACTTGATAATTGAGCGGCTATAACAGTTAAGACTACTAAGATCGTGATAATCAAATGATTTGTGGACCTTGTGCAGATTACCGTGATGTTGTCTTTCGATGTAATGTGTGGTGGAGGAAGCAGTCTGATAGAATAGGATTTTTCCGCTCGATCGAGATTGAGACTAAGGCAAATTATGACAACTGTTGCGATTCAGATGATTAAAGCACCAGTAACACTGGCTACAGCCAGGTACTACAATATATACGGATGATTGGAGAGGGTTTAGATGCCTATATATGTGCATCGTGTCGTTATCCGCAAGTGGCATCTTAAGGACCCAACAACCGGAGTGCAAACAAAAACTATCGAAGCTTTGTGGTCGAAGCTGAAATAGTTTTTGAGATCTTATCATGGCTCCAGAGACCAACTATTATGGAGCCATATGAATGATTTCCACTACCGTATACATTGCGATTTTAGAACCTATGAACCTTCTTCTACTCTTGACAAGATTTTGAACCACGTAAAAATAGTGTATCCACTTTAACTCTTTGATTTTGTTTAATGTATTTCACTCTATACTAACTGTTCTGTGATTGACTGACGTCTCTCAAGGTCACTTAAGATTCGTTCAAAGGTCGTCCATAAGTTATAGATAGTCTCACCGAATCGGAAAAATAGAGAAAAAAAGAAATTTATTATTAACAATAGAATAGAATGGGATTTTTAATAATTTTGTTCATTGTTCGACTATTATAAAATTATCCCTCTATTGTAAATTATTAATTAAGATTATGAATTGAACAATGTTAGACTACTATTAAAAACTTGGAAGTACTGGATGGTCGTTTAGTCCTAGTATGGTACACCTCAGCAGTACGTATCCACTATTCTTCATGCAGAACTAGAACCTAGAACTTTCAGTCTTGCGTGCGAACGCTTTACTTCTAGACCACTGATCCGGTATCTGACGGTGTTAATGTCTAATTCCAAACAATCCATGATATTGAGCGATCATCCTCCAGTTTTTTGGTTCTCAATGGTGGTTTAACATTGACCGGTTCACGAATTCAGATTAATTATTAGACAAAATAAATCTTTTTAATTATGAGTTACAATAATAATAATAATAAACAAACTTCACTAACATTTACATGAATTATATTTCAAGAAAGTAACAACGCTATTTAATATTCATGTTAGCAACAATATTGCGTCATTCAGTTAATTTAGATAAACAATCCTTTGCTTAGTCACACTTTACATGAGTTAACTAGAATGAATCATTTGCTCACACACTATTACATTCAATAAAACACTCGATGTTGATCGCTATGACATAAAATTCGTATTGAACATTTAATTTACATTTAGTTATATACTATGAATTAATTAAGTCATCATTAATTTTATGTAAACGTTTAATTTATAGAAATCTTCGTCTAGATTTCTTATTATTCCTAATTTTTCTTAGAAATATCAAATTGAGGTGTATTCACGGTTATGAAAATTTTGACATTGAACTTTGAATTAAAAGTATTTGATCTGATTTTTTCAGTATTTTATTTTCAGTATGAGGTTGTGCAGATTATTAAGTTCTTGATTGAAATCATGAACCGATTGATGTTAGGCTACTATTGAAAACGTGGAAGCACTGGACGACCGTTTCGTTTTATTGTGGGACTCCTCAGCAGTGTGCATTCACGATTCCGCTCGCAGGATTCGAACCCACGGCTTTCGGTTTCGCGCACGAATGCTTAACCAATAGACCTTTATTGCTTGTATAGCAGCTCATATGCTTTAACCTTCTCATTTTAATCCTTTCGATATAATTCTGCTTAATATTTGATTGTAGGCTTTAATGATTGGAACTATTGTTTTGGAAATACTGATTTCTGTTAATTTCATATAGTACGAACTCAATTCTGTTGTCAATAGTTGATTTTTCAGAAATAATTCTATCAAAATAAATTATATTGTGATAACAGAAATTCAAGAACAAAACTATTGATCAACGTAGGACGTAAATTATTTACAAATAATGGTTAATACCAGGCATTTTGATGTTTTATTATCTACGTATAGATTAGTGATATTATTTAGTTGTTCAGGATAAATTAGGCTGAATGATGTGTAAACTTCTGATTTAATAAATGAGAGCTAAATGTTTTAATCTTTAAATGACTTTTAATTATAAAACTGAAATTACTAAACAGTATTTATCATCTTAATTCAATATAAATTGATGTGAAAAACTCTCAGGATAAAATTGAGAATATTTAAATGAGTGCAAAAACTTCGATTAACTAACAATGGCCTTTCTGTCAATAAAGAGAAATGTATTATGTAGACGATTTTATAGTTGATTACGTCTTCATATTCCTCAATATTCAACATAGATGAAATGAATCCTTTGAAACTGCCAAAGTTGATTTTTTGTTTCATAGACTGTTCATCACTTGTGAAATTTATTTTAACAGATTTATATTAAACAGATCGCTTAAATAAATCTGTTTTGTAATCGAATAATAATTCGTATTCTATAAATAGTTACATTAATTGAGATGGGATAAAAGCTTGAATGAAGCTGATCTAAAATCTATCTGAATCAAGAGATTTATATAAATTAAGAAAATGATCAATTGATGTAGTCAAACTTTTAAAAGTGAACATAATTGATTGAATTCACTTAGCATTAACTAATGAATACCACTGATTTAATTTGTAAAATGAACTTATTATAAATAGTTTTCATTGTATGGTATGGTTTGTTGTTTGCCATAGATACCTTTTCTATCAAAGATTATCGACGATCTGATAAGCTAACAAGATTTTTTAAGATATGTATATACATAACTGTATCAATTATTTTTATCATAGAGTATATGGCCTTCTGACTTACCTAAACAATCTCCAGTAACAATATGTGGCAGTACTGATTTCACTAGTGATTATGCATCAGAAAGCCCACGTTTATTCACAGCATTTGGTTGGAGTTTATCTGGTTCATATGATTTAGACGGGAATCATGCGCCTGATCTTGTCATTGGAGATTATGAAAGTGATCAAGTATGTGATTCAATTGAAGATTTTCTTGGGGCAAGGGTTTTTTTCCTTTTTTTATACATCTTATTTAATAATTTGTATTGCTTTTGCTCTACAGATTACTACAAATTATATTTCATGTAATTTGTTAAGAGCGCCGATTACTTCATACTTTATTTTATACTTTAAAACATATAAATACTGGAAATAACTTGTTTGAAACAGAATAGGTTTTGAATAAACGGATATACGCGTAAGTGTACAGTATTAAATTCAACTGATAAGGTAAACTGAATTTACGGTGCTGTTTTCTTTCTTCAAATCTAATTTACTGGTCAATAGCCTTTTTCAATGAAACGATGAAGAAGAATCAAAATTACGGTGAAAAAGCTGGTGTTAGTCAAAAATGATTCAGAAACAAGCAGTGTAAGAACCGGTTGAAAAATTTATATCTGTCCATGTTACTAAAACTTACACCGACATATCGAGATGAAATAAATAAGATGGATACTAAAGTAATAATAGTAGTATCAGTGTAAGGAAAAAGAGAACAAAAGTCGATAATATAGATTGAAAAGGAAGAACCTATTCGCGGAAAAAAAATTGTGTTAAGATCACGAGTTGATCTAACTTAGGCAACCACCGAAACCCTAAAAGTACTGTACAGTTGCATCATCCTAGTGAAGATTCACGAACCTGCCACCGAGGATCGAAGCAAAGACCATCAGTCACACACACGAACACTTGACCTTTAGGCCACCGAACCAAAATGCAATTGTGTAGAAGTTTGACATCAACCAATCCACAATATTATGCTCCCAGCTTTTCAATAGTTGCCTAACTGAGATCGAGCGATGATTTCACTAAGATTCAACAATCTTTATATTGACAAAAGGTATTTGTTAACGCTAAGATATAAAAAGATATTCTTGTTTAAGTGTACCTGTAATACGTCTGTTTTTGTAATGATTATATTGTTTATTTGTATAAACTGTTTTATTCACAAGGACTATTTCCATAAATAACTCTTAAACTAATGTTGGGACTTCTAATTATAGTATACTATTCGTTTATACAGTGTTTTTTAAACATATATCTTTCTACTAATTTATTGCACATTAATTATCAATTAACCAAATTGATATTTAACAACTAATTGTTCGTTCAAAATATACAAGAAAACAAATTGTGTTTTATGTGAAGGGAATTCGGAAAATCAAACGTCAAAACATTTGTGAAAATGTCAAGTGTGAAACTTTATTGTTCATTCATTTATTAGTGCATAGTATAGGTGATTTTATTTATAGGCAGTTGGTACACTGGGAATATGTTTGATAGAGAAAGCAAAAACATTACAATGAAAGCAAAAAACATGCGTAACAAATATAATCGTAAATTACCTAATTTGGAAGTTTTTGTTGCGTAAGGTCATGTGAATTACCTTGTGGGATGATTTCTTTCCATTTTTTCTTATTATTGTCGAGGATTTACAAACTAATTAATATTATATAATCATAAGCTAATTTCACTTCATGTTTAAGAAGTCGTTAACGCCAGATACTTGTTGCGGAATATATTCAAAATTATTTCCATACTTTCTTACATCATTCGCCTTAACAATTGTTCTTACCGAAAATTCTAATGGTTTATAACTCTTGGAAGGCAATGCAATGATGCGACAGTTTATTTCGGTACAGCTATAAACCATACAACCAATAATCATACAATATGAGAGAAGAATTTACGAATCGATTAATTGACGGAAATAAGTTAGTGGAATTCAAAAAGCACATCTCTAGAGGTATACGAATAAGTTATCAAGTGTTTTATTAAGGGATTATTATGTGGACAAGTAAAAGACATTTATATGTAGACTAACAACACTTGATCAATTATACTCGCTTATGCAAGGTTAGATGTAAAAATGCAAAAATATAGACAAATTATTACTGGCTTAAATGACAAAACCCTTCTGTTAAATGAGTTATTTAAAGGACTTGACAACTTTAAAAAATTATACAAAGTCAAGTAAAGATGACGATGCTACACTCGCTTAAAATTACGATTAGATTACTTAATTGATGGAAATTCTCATTATATTAAAACACAATTATATGAACGGAGAATATTCTTTTCTCATCAGTTTCTACAATTATAAATCCAAATTAATAATCCATAAAATTGACCAGATTTAAGGCAGAGTACATCAACTAAAATTGTAATATGTGAATCAAGCATTGTTTGTTATGTAAAATCAAATCAAATCGTTAATGTTGGGGCTGACCAATATGAAGTGTTAACATGAATCAGTTTATAAGTGAAATGAAATTGTGAGATAAATGGTCAGGATAAATATGGTCAACATGGGGTGAGAGAGAAAATAATGGAATAAAATCAGAAATTACGTAATATGTTGAATATTATGACTTAGGCCAGATATAGTAGATAGGGGTCGATGCTGAATAAATCCCTGAAAAAGGTTATCAAGTATAATAATAACAATGATAATAATGGTAAAGAAAATATTAATAAGATATGATAAGTTTGGGACATAAAAATGAACATTAATCAAATTACGTCACCATATTATAAAATTGATTATTAACTAGTTGGCCAGGGTAAAAGGAGCGGCTGAACATATTTCTTTTGGATGCAGAGCTCTGGCTTTCTGATCCGAAGAACAATTGCTTCGGCCGTTTGCAGGATTCTCAGTTTGACAGAATTAGGTAGACTGCTGTTAACGCGATATATTATTGCAAAAAATTGCTCCATGTTGGTTGTATGTCCCGTCTGAATTAAATGGGTTGAAATGGATCTGTTAACCGTTCTAACTACACCTTTGCTTAACCACACTGGGAGGTGTCACGAGTCCGAATGTACAAATTTCTAGAACATCTGCCAATATAACTTGCTACACAGGAGCAGTTGAGTTGATAGATACAGAAAGAGGTGGCTAGTCTAGGCGATTTATGTATCAACCTTGGAGTGATTGTAGAACATGCGGAAAACGTTAATTGTAGTTTACCTGTATTGAAACTTCTTTGAATTTATGTGCTTAACTTCAGTCTTAGCATTCACTCGGCGCCTCGCCTCTGAATTGTAAGCGTATATACAGAGGCATTTTATTCACAGTTAGGCACTCTCTATGCTTTCTTTTAGTGGCTATGTTTTTATTTATGAATTTCTCAAGATATCCATTTTTTCAGGATCGTGTATAATTTCTTTGTTTCATCTTCCACCGTATTTAGAGAACATATGGTCTTGATTCTATGATGCAGTGTCTTAATAAGGTTCCTTTCGTATTGCAGAGGAACAAAACTAAGAATGTTTGTATATTGGCACGTCCAAGTGGTTTTCTTGTCTATGTTCCTTCTTAGTGAACTGTCTTTCTTCCTTGTAAGTAGAACATCTAGAAAGGCTACCGTACCCCCATTTTCCTTCTAACATGTGAATTTTATGGACGGTGAACTGTATTGAATCGTTCGACTGTTTCAATGAAGTCCGTAATTATTGTGTTCATCGTCTCATTGTAAAATGCGACAAAATATGGAACAATAATTATATAAAGTTTACTGCCTATTAAATTATTTTCTTGTAGTCTTGTTTCATCTCTGTAATTTGCGCAATTATTATTTGTATGGAATAAAAACAATGAATAATATAAGTCGTTACTAAGTTTAGTAAATAAATTGTAATATTAACTAGAAATTATTCCATTAAAACCATGAACTAATCAATTTTAGACCACTATTGAAAACCTGGAAGCACTGAACGATCGTTTTGCCTCATCATGGGACTCAGCGGTGTTCATCCAGCCAATTAACATCTAGACAACTGACCGGCATTCAGTAGTGTTAATGTCTAACTGCGACCAATCCGCTATGTTGCTCGACTATATCCCGTTTTCATTAATGTCATTTCATTTCTAAATTGTAATTTTATTTGACCGAAAAATAGTAAACACACATTCATTGTTCGGTAATTTTATGCATTGTGTTTCTTTTAACTTGCCTACGAATATGTTTTGTCTGTGAATGCAAATCAACTAATTTTTGACAAAACCGACTGAAAAGATAACCGTTAGTACTTCTCTGATTAATAAAAATAATAGTACACGTATTACTGATAAATATAATAATAAAAATGATCATAAATAATAGTATAAATGAAATAACATTCATATAAGTAAATTAAATTGCCGTAATAGTTTCCTAACTTAAGATAAAATTAACCTTTGAATGTTTACATTTAATTACTGACAGGGATTTATTGTTATAATATATATTTTATCTATTAGAACTGCATACTATCAACATTTCATGGAAGATTATTTTGTTAATAGACTGATAGTTAACAGGTAATGAAACATTCAAAACTATGGAAGACTGAATCAATGTTTTTGTTCTTCGTTTAGAATATTTTAGATTTGTTCAATAATGACACATGAAATGATATTTATGTCATATTATGAATCTATTGTCATTTTACGACTGAGTATGAATCTGATTGCAATGACTATCTGACTTACAAAAATTTTTTAAGTTCAGAGGCCGTGATATCCTAATAGAACTTTCGAAAATCAATGTTGAAATTATTTGGTAGTGGACAGACTGTTGAATTATATATATATATATATATATATATATATATATATATATATATATATATATTATATATATATATATATAAACATGTAGCCTAAATTAAGGTTTCTAGTTTTGGGACTTTTTCTGTGCGGTCTTTAAGATGAGTCGTTTATTTGAAAAAAAAATGAAATTTTAATGTTCTCACTTAAAAATTGGTTTATATCTTATACATTGGGTTTGTCAATCTATAAATCACAACTGAATATCAACATTTAAATCTAAAATCTTATCTAATAATTATCTTGAAATAAATAGGTTGTAATGCTTCGAGGACGCAACACTTTATGGTTTGATTCACCAATTTGGGAACTTCCAACACAACCAACCTTATCATGGCGATATAAAGATACTTTAACTTGTGATGAACAGTGCTATTTTCCAATTCAATTATCTGCTCGAATTAATGGTAAACAACATTTATTGAAGCAAATTAAAGATTGGAAACTTCGGCTATTGATTGATTTGGATTCGGATGTTGAACAGCCTGAAAATAAACGTCTCGCCATACAAACAACACGAAAACAAATGATTTATCAGTCAACTGATAAAGGAATTATTGATATGCTTGTGGAATTGAAAACGGATGAATTCATAGAAGAAAACTCTAGTCGGATAACTTTATTTGATTTTATTGTTAAACCTTTAACCTCGAGAATAAGTGCACTTTTATGGAAACCTGTACGTATTAATGTAACACTAAACCCTGTACATGAGCCAATGTCCTTTGTTGAACACAAATCAATATCATCATGGATATTGCATCCATTCTTGGGCAGTCGAAACTTTATTAGTCGTTCAATGCAATTTGCCAATCCAGCCTGTGGTGTTGATAATATATGTCGACCTGATTTACAAGTTCAAATGATCGATATTTCTGAAGGTCCAACTGATAAATCAATTATTTATTTTAGAGAACGTGTTAGTCAAAGAAATATTACTGTTCATATTGGGAATTTGGGTGAAAATGCTTATTCTACTCAATTACACATGATATTTCCTGATCAATTGAGTTTTAGTATGCCAGAAGGTTTATCATGTCAAACTGTGACATTGAATGATTTGAAAGTTAGTTTATACTTTGCTCAGATTTGTTCATTACAACAATTTTAATATTTCAACAAACGTTTATTTTAAATAACTTTATTCCTATGTTTTTATGGTTACATGTCTTCCTGTTTCATATTACGATGTTAATATTTCGCATATAAGCTTAAATTAACCTATTCAGTGTTAAACATCATGCATACTTTAATTGCTTACAAGTAAAGTTATGAGGTTCTACTTAAAAAAGAGCAAGAAGAACTCATCAGATTACTGAGTCGACGTCATTACAGCAATAATAATAATAATAATAATAATAATAGGCTATTCTGATGTCTTGTAAATTGGAAAACGTCGATAATGAGCAAACAATACTTCATGTGAAGGGGAGGGTAAAAATTGAGAGTTCATAATATCTGAGCGATATGACTGAAGTCGATTAAGAATCGCATGACATTATTTTATGCCTAAGTCAAGAAGTTGTGGAATACAACTCTTCCTTGTACACAGATTCATCTTATCCCAAGACCGTCTATTATGTATAAAAGGATGTTAACTTGGATTCAGTTGATTTTCAATAATATTTAATTATTTTCAATTAAATAATTCCTTCAGTTTTCTTATCAGTTAATAAAATCTTCATATGATTCGTATAGAAAACCAGTAATCAAGTGTATGATTGGTGTACTATGTGTTTTAAATTATGCTTATGATAAAAAAAGAGATATAAAAATTTAACTAGCTACCTTAACAAGGAAAGTTTAACTATCCAATAAATTAAAGAGGAAAAGTGTATTTGTAAAATCTCAGTGAATAAATTCGAAATAGATCCAACGTTTTGCCTAGCAATCTGGTCTAAGCTTTTTCAAGGAATAAATAAATTTTTTAAATCTCGGTTACATAAACTGTAGACTGTGCGGATTTTTTCACGTAATAATAAATGTATTTTCAAGCTTTTCATTTTGTTTCATTGTAACTCATTTGATTTGAATTATTTTCTATTTATAGCTATAAGTGTTACATCGTTTATACAAAATAGAATGTAATGAGTTTATATTTATCTGTAATGTGTATAGTTCGATACTAAACATTTTCCGATAACCTCATTTGATTATCAAATCTATTCACCTACTTATAATTATAATAACCAATAATCAATAAGTACTTTGAAATATTCAATAGGAATAAATAGAATTCAATAGAAAAAATTTTCTTCCCTATGAAATCATTTACTTTAGCCATAAATTCGTATTTATAGTTTGATAAATATATCCCTTTCTATGAAATGAAAGGAGATAATCGCAGTTGAAATCATGAGTCGATCTCCACTGGACCACCATTAAAGACGAATGCTTTGTCCTACTATGGGACTCCTCGCCAGTGCGCGTCCATCATCCTGCATGTAGGGCTCGAACCCATGATCTTCGATCTCATGCGCGAATTCGAGAGCCGGCATCGAACGGGGTTAATGTCTAAGTTAAATCGATCTTGCACAACCCTTTATCCATTTTTTGAAGTGGATATCCGTTCCACATCTGACACGGATTAGACTCCACTGGTCATAGCTTTTCACTATAACCTCAGCAATTACAGCTTGAAGTTAGTCACTAGCGAGTACATGATTATTGTCAGAATGAAGATTTGTGGAGATTGTAGTATTGTAGGTGTGCACTGCTGAGGACTAAACCGCTATCCAAGTGCAAAAATACTCTTATTTCAATGGATCCTTATACTGAAAAACAAGAGATTATACAATAAAACGATATGAAATTCCCTAAGTCAAAAGAAGACTATATAATGTTCAGAAGGTTAGAGGTGAATAAGAGAACGAAAAAAATTTTCGGGTCAGAAATACGAGTGATAGTTATCCATTTGACGGACATTAAAATGTTAAGGTGCGATGTAATCTATTTTTATACTTCCATAGACTCAAATATTTACAAACAATAATAAATGCAAATGTACCACTTAAGCAAGTGCTTTTATCAAGAATACAATTTTCACTACACAACCGTCTTCATTTATATTCAGTGACACAATCGATTACTACAAAAATATTCACTACAGATACTGTTACTATTGAAATTATTTTAATTTTAAGAAATTTTAAATAAATTTAATATACATATACAACAAATATACTAATAATTTGCATTTCATCTAGAAAATCCATTGAAACTAAGTATTTAACCAACGTTTTAATCTCACTGTTATTACCAAACTATGATGTTGATTGATTATACTTAAATAAGAAAACTTTCAAAGTGTACTTAGAAATAATTTTCAACATTTACGTGATAGCATCATTCTATAGGCTTCGTATTAGTTTAATGTTAAATAATTATTTATATTACTAACACTAAAAATTATATTTGATAGTAATATTTACAAGCTCTACACGACAATAAACAAATTCTTGTACTACAATTTCTTACCAATGAAACAATTATCTTCTTTTATAACATCAGTTTATCACGTATTATTCACATCTTTGATTACATAACTTTCATAATTTAGTGTATATACTATGTTAAAAAGTAAATGATGAAACTATCTTAAGGTGAACTGGAAAAACAAAACGCTAACCACTGAACGCGACTCTTTGTCGACTAATTTTACTGAATTGTGCATATATATATATATATATATTTAGGCACCATTTTTTCCCGAATCAATAATTTATATTTCATTATTAGCTAGCTTGTAAAAGAAAAAAACACAACTTTTATTATTATGGAAAGATCCAATGAATATTAATTTCTGTTATATATATATATATATATATATATATATATATATATATATATATATATATATATATATATGCATATATTTCAAATCAATGAATTGGGATATAAAATCGAAAAAAACACAATAAATTATACATATTTTTTACCAAAAAATACATTTTAATTGCTTAATTTTCCAGAAAACATTGAATTTCGGGAATGTAATAAAACAAATTATATATACATATATATACGTTATACAATTGATGATATTCATATAAACTTCTATTAATGACTCATTTATTATTTATAAGAATGATATTTTATTTTATTACACATATTCATAAAATTTGAATTTAAAAGAAATTTAAATCGAATAAAATAAATCTCAAGGTTAGAAGAATATGTCAATTATCATTTATTTAAAGTTCGATATATTTGAACATCTTTTACACTTTAATACAAAATTAATCAATAAATAAGATTTTAAAATTATTGCCTCTTTTATATTTTTTTTCTTTTATAATGAGTCATGCTGCCTAAATACGAATGACATTATCTTTTTCTAATGTTATGTGTATAAATAAGGCGATTGTATAAGAAAGAAAAGTGATTGAACATCTTTGAACAGTTGTTCACTTATCAATTTTGTTCTATTTCTAACTTATATTTTCTACTCAATATTTTTATTATTTTTTTAAAATGAAAATATACATCACAATAATAAACATTGCAAGCTGGAAATTTGATTGACATACAAAATAATGATGTTGTATTTTACATTTAACAATATAAACAATTTAAGTCTTGATAAATTTCAAATGTATAAATGTGTGAAAAAAAAGTGTAATTACTCTGTGGGTTGCCTGTTCAGCTTTTAGCAAAACTTAATTCATTTTAGGTATTTGATCAAAGGTTTTACATTATTTCATTTTTACTACATTGGGTCATAGTTGAATGACGTTTAATATAGGTATTACTGTAGGCTCGTTAAATTTTATAGCCTAATATTTAAATCTCTAAAATTAGGCATACTTTTCAAAGACTAATATTCTCTTTTTTCTCTCCCCCCCCCTCTCCCTTGTTATTCTATAGCAAACTCAATTAATTTGTAATTTGGATGATCCATTGAGTTATACAGGAAATGATCAACTTTATTCATTCACTTTTCAAATAAATACAGCTGGAGCATTTAGACAATTAGATGAACCAATAAACGATCAACCAGAAAATATTTCAGATCATGATCCTTTAGAAAAACTATATTCACATAATTCTAATGATGATATGGAAAAGCTTGATTCATTATCAAAAATAATCAATAAACCAAATCATGAAGATGATAATAAAATGAGAACGGATGATTTTTTTATACATTCATCGTCAGTAAGGAGGAATAATAATAATAATAATAATGATAATAATAATGATTATGAGGAATTACACGTTAAACCTATGTACCATTCATATCAAGTTAAACGGAATAAACGTAATATTTTATCAGTTCCTAAAGATTTAACAATAACAGCTGAAGTGATAAGTGGAAATACAGATGACAATATAAATAATAATAAAGCAAGTATTACTTATCAATTAAAATTGGCTGCTAAAGTTGAAGTAAGTTTAAAACAAATGATTTTATTCTAAAAATAGTAATGTTAATAATAAGAATATGAATGATATAAAATGAATTATCAACGTAATTTATTTAATTTACATGAGAAGAAAATTGTTAAAGCAATAGCGACGGTGTCTTTTATATACACATTCCGGCTATTGACAGTGTCATGATCATTGAATTATGAACATGGACTTCTTCGTTGGTAATTCAACCTATAATATTATTAAGTTTAAGATATAATTCGATTTTTCCCCATAATTTTATTGCTACTACTTAAAGTTCAGAAATTTGACTAAAGAAATAATTTGTCAAAAATTGTATATGAATATGATGTAGCACGACTTGACATGTGTGCTTTAATTTAAGAAAGACCATTGAAGTACAATATTTTGTATTGAATAGGAACTCAATAGTCGTAAAATAATATTATTAATATGGGGCATTGTAAAGATTATTAGATTTCATATTTTATATTACGAACTGATATTAATTAAACAAGCACTAAAAGCAGAAACCATTGAACAGTTGTTTCACTTAAGCAATGGTCTTCTCAAAAGTGTCGATCTACAAACCAACTGAATATTGAAACCAAGACTGATAAAAAGAGTTTAATTTTCAGACCAATAATCTAGGATTTAATGGTTTACATGTCTCATTCCTATCAATTTGCAATGATCATCCAAACTTGTCGTCAACACCAGTCCATGATACAAATCATCAAATAATAACATTGAGAAATTCATTGAAGTAGAACAAGAAGTTTAACATCTTAATAGTTGATTCCTTTAATTTCACTTGCCAAATAGAATTTTCAATTATTTCTAATAATATTTAAGATACAGTATTTTAGATGTAATAATTCAATTTTTTTACTGATTAGATTTTAGTTAACCTCCTTAAATGTATATGTTAATCAACAGATAAGTAAATGTCAATACTTTCTCTGTTTCTGTGTATTTTTAACAAAAAATAATACTAACACTGAACAAATCATTGAAATTTTGACATGAATAGTTTACAATATCAATGGAATGTGACACCTACAATTTATGGTATGCCGTCATGGATCACTGGGAAAAAGGATAATAATGATAATATAGTTTTCATTGAAGTAAAAATCCATGATGATGATGATGATGATATTTACTTCTATTATGGCAGACAATTCAAAAAGTACACACACCAATCTTGTATATTGTAACTTGTTTGTTGTAATGTATGATAATTAATAACATATGTTTAATTTAAACTGAAAGGTAATAATAGGAAATATGCTATGTTCAATGTCCAAAGATTTATCTTATGATGAATTGAACAGTTTTGTTATGATTATTTAAAAGGTTTGTTGTTTGTTTTTCAAGCTGTTAGAAATAAGTTATCATTGTTGTTATGTCTACTACGTTCCACTGCTTATTGATACTAAGAATAATGAACAATGTAGGAACACATTAGAATCAGTTATAAATATTATAGAATCAGGGGTAGATACGCATAGATTCAAGTTGATGCGCTTCATACCAATACAATAAGCTATGATTATTAATATGCTAAGCAAATGGGTATCAAAATGAATTTACCAATAAGGGTAGTAAAAGCTATATATAATCAAATCAATCAGTTATGTGCTGACGACCACACCACGTTGAAAGCACAGGTTCTCGTCTGACTGACTAATTTAAAGTTAAAACCTGAAAGTTAAAGAAAAGTAAATTACATATTTCATTCACATAACTTCAATCTGGAAAGTTGGTTTTCTTCCTGAAATCATTGGGTTAATAAATTCAACTTGTTGAACACGGACTGAACAACTCGATGACTTTTCATTTGTTATGTTTTAAAAGTATGGATTCACAGTTTTAAATCTAATATACTACGATTAGATTAAGATTTGACTACTATTTTTTCGGAAGTTGATTGGTTTTATGCAATTATTTTATAGTTAAATAGATGCTACTATTATTATATTTAAAATTTGGATTTATTTAATTGTAAGTATCTCGCTAACTGTCAACTTGGCAGTTAGGTGATCTAAGTGAAGTTTTTTACCCACAAACTATTCATTTCATGAAAATAATTATTTTTTAAAATATATAATCAAAAAAAGGAAAAATATTACCGTTATTAAATGTTCTATGTCACCGTAATCGTATATCAGCACTTATGTTTTAAGATGTGTAATCAAAATACAACCGACCATGGTCAAGATAGTCCCTAGTTGACACAACTTCATTTACCATAATGAGAAGGCGAATTTCTAAGTTGAGAAACAAATGAAAGGAATTAATTATAACTTCAGTGAAAATCAAACAACGGAGATAGAATAGAGCAGTATTACTGACTTCTGTAAATAATAGTTATTTTACTCCGACTAGTAAATATTTTAAAAACAATTAAACACCATCTTAGTATATATATGATATATACTCACATACTCACGCCTGTTACTCCTAATGGAGCATAGGCCACCGACCAACATTCTCCAACCCACTCTGTCCTGGGCCTTCTTTTCTAATTTCACCCTATTCTTGTTCACTTTTGTCATGTCTATCTCCGTTTCCCGGCGTAATGTGTTCTTTGGTCTTCCTCTTTTCCTTTAACCTTGAGGATGCCATGTGAGGGTTTGTCTTGTGACGCAGTTGTTTTCTTACCTTAATGTGTCCTATCCACTTCTAGCACTTCTTCCTAATTTCTTCCTCCACTGGGATCTGATTTGTTCTCTCTCGCAGTAGGTTGTTGCTAATAGTGTCCGGCCAACGGATCCGAAGTATTTTACGTACACAACTGTTAATAAACACCTGTATCTTCTGAATGATGGCTTTCGTAGTTCTCCAGGTTTCCGCCCCATACAGTAGAACTGTCTTGACATTTGTATTGAAAATTCTGACCTTGGTGTTGGTTGACAGTTGCATTGAGTTCCAGATGTTCCTCAGTTGTAAATATGCTGCTCTTGCTCTACCGATCAGCGCCTTCACATATGCATCAGATCAACCATGTTCATCAATGATGCTGCCCAAATATGTAAACGTTTTTGCATCTTCCAAATCTTCTCCGTCAAGTGTGACTGCTTTGGTGCATGCTGTGTTGCATTGGAGAATCTTGGTTTCCCCTTTGTGTATATTGAGACCTATTGCTGCTGAGGCTGCTGCTACACTGGTCGTCTTCTCCTGCATTTGTTGTTGCGTTTGGGATAGAAGGGCCAGATCATCCGCGAAGTCTAGATCGTCAAAATGCATCCCATGCTTCTCTTCAGATGTTGACGTCTTCGTGATCCAGTCAATCGCCAGGAGAAAGAGGAAAGGTGAGAGTAAGCAACCTTGCCTGACACCGGTCCTTACCTCGAACAAGTCTGTCAACTGTCCTCCATGCACGATTTTGCAGTGTAATCCATCATAGGAATTCTGTATGATATTGAATATCTTCTGAGGCACGCCATAGTGTCGAAGAAGCTAACATAGTGTTGTCCTGTCCACGCTATCAAATGCTTTTACATAATCAACGAAGTTGATGTAGAGCGATGAAGTCCATTCAATTGATTGTTCCACAATGATCTGTAGTGTTACGATTTGGTCTGTACACGATCTATCCGTACGGAATCCAGCCTGTTGGTCTCGAAGTTGGGCGTCTATGCAGTCCTTCATTCTGTTTAACAATACCCTGTTGAAAACTTTTCCCGGTATTGAGAGAAGAGTGATGCCTCACACTTGCTGAGATCGCCTTTCTTCGGTATTTTGATCAGGAGTCCTTCTTTCCACTCTTTTGGTACTTGTTCCTCATCCCAAATCTTACTGAAGAGAATGTGGAGTATCCTTGCAGTTGCCGCTACGTTTGCTTTCAGTGCCTCTGTTGGAATGTTGTCTGGTCCTGCTGCTTTGCCACTCTTGATTTGTCTGATGGCCATGCTGACCTCTTCAACTGTTGGTGAGCCAACATTGATTTGGAGGTCCGTGGGTGCTGCTTCGACGTTGGGTGGGTTCAGTGGGGCTGGTCTTTTCAAGAGTTCTTTGAAGTGTCCTACCCACCTGTTTCGTTGCTCTTCAATGTTGGTGATTACCTCGCCTTCCTTGCTTTTCACTGGTCGTTCTGGTTTACGGTAATTTCCAGTGACTTTCTTTGTTGTGTCATACAGTTTTCTCATGTTTTCTTCTCTTGCAGCCTTTTCCACCGTCGTTGCTAAATATTCCACATATTTACGTTTTTCGGTTCTGATGCTCCTCTTCACTTGTTTGTTTACTTCTGTGTATTCAACTTGTCCCTTGCCTTTTTCTGATCTTGTTCGACTGGTATTGATCGCTTCCTTCTTGTTTCTCCTTTCTTGAATGTTATCAAGTGTATCAACAGTGATCCATTCCTTGTGATGGTGCTTCTTGTGGCTCAGAACCTTATGGCATTTTGAAGTGATTGCCTCTTTGATTCCCTTCCAGTTGCTCTCCATAGTAGTTCCCTCTCCATTGAGTAGATCATGAAAGGCCTGGAACTTGTTGCTGAGGGCTATCTCGAATTTGTTGACTTTGTCAGTATCCTTAAGAAAGGCCGTATTGAGCTTTTGTGATATTGTCCACCCCGTTGTCAAGTGCTTCTTGAGTTCAAGTTTCATCTTGGCGACCAGCAAGTGATGATCTGATGCTATATAAGCTCCTCTCTTGGTTCCCAAGTCCTCCATTGTCCTCCTGAACGTTTTGTTGATGCAGATATGGTCGACTCCGTTTTGTGTAGTGTGATCCAGTGAAGTCCATGCGTTTGTGTGGAATGTAGTGCCACCTATGACCAGTTTATTGAAAGCACGTGGGCATGCAAGTCTCTTACTATTTTCGTTCCTTTCTCCCAGTCCATGTCGTTCCATGATGTCTTCATATCCGATGTTGTCCATTCCAACCTTGACATTGAAATCTCCCATCAGAATGGTCAGGTCCTTTGTTTGGCACTTCTCGACGATTGACTGCAGCATATTGTAGAATTGATCCTTAGCGTCTTTATTGTAGTCGTTGGTAGGCGCATAGCATTGGACGATGTTCATTGAAATGCCCTCTTTCTTTGTTTTGAAAGAGGCTTTGATGATCCTTGGTCCATGAGATTCCCATCATATAAGTGCATTTTGTGCTTGTTTGGATATCATCAGTGCAACTCCTTGTGTATGTGGAGCATTTTCTTCTTCATGGCTGGAGTATAACAGAAGCTCTCCTGAAGTTAGTCGTTGTTGTCCAACTTGCGTCCAATGTGTTTCACTGATCCCATATACCTCGTCGTAGATGTACACCTCTGGCGATTCCTATACTAGAACAAAACGGCTGTTCAGTGCTTTCACGTTTCCAATAGCGTTTTTACTTAGATCAGCTAATAATCGCAATAAAACATTGTAGTGATTATCATTTAGCAACTTCTTTGTGTTTATGTGTCTGTGTACATATTCACGTCAAGAAACAAAATGTGAATAGTTTCTATCACGTTATAATCTTAATCTATGCATCTTTCCAAGTACAGAAGAGACGATCTGTGAAATCAAAACATCAATGAAATATCAAGGAATAATTTGAACTGGTTTTAATAATTTAAAATATTATTATGTTTTTAATTTAATTGTGATATTTTTGATAATGATAAAATCATCTGAGCATGGCTTTTATTTTTCAAAATTATAAGTTCTCCAACTTATTTAAGCTTTCCTATCTAAAAAATATTTTCGTTCGATTAGCTTTCATCATCTGCATTGGATCGTACAATTATTGATTTTCGGAATTTTTCTGTACAACCATATGAGATGCAAAGAATCCATCCAGAAACAATTGGTCCAGAATTAAAACATATTTATCTTGTTACAAATTCTGGCCCATCCCCATTGGAAAGCTTTTGGGTTAATTTAACAATTCCTGTACAAACAAGAGATGGTGAATATTTAGTTTATCTATTAGATCGACTTAGATATCAAGCAGAAGATGGTGGACCTCCACGTTTTGAAAATATATCGCCAGATGTAAGCTGTTTATATTAACTCTGAATGAAGTTTTATTCGATAGTTATTTTATTAAGTCATACATAATTAATCTAATGGACTTAAGTATTATTTTAAATAGCTTTATTAAACATCTTGTAAATTGAACTGTCTTACTAAAATTTATTTGTCATTTACTACTTATGTGTATTGTTTACTTAATCGGTTGTATTCCATTATTTGATATAGCTAAAAAACATTATTAATGACCATCCTGAGATCATTTTCGCATTAAGAAACCTTCAAAAACCAGAGCGCACTAGATCGTTATTTCGTTCATGATTCATCAGGAATCATATGCTTTCGCTTAGGTCTTGTGTCGAATACTGAATAATTATCCAGTGCTTAAAATATTAAACCTCACTCGATTTATAACATAACCGAACGATTGTAACTTTCTGCAAGAAAATAAAGCAATTTATCCGACAGTTAGTGATGAAAGCCAATAATTAAGATTATTTAGTAACCATCTAAAACCTTCAACCAGTAACATGTTATCAGGACAGTTATCTTCTGAAAATTACTTTATTTGATTTTAAGTATTTATTCATATTATCCCTTTAAAATATACCGTATTCTAATTTTCTGAATTTGCATATATAATAATTAGTTAATAATAATACCAATCAAGAGAGTATCTAATCAAGATTATACAGGAACAAACATTGTAGAATAGTGTTTTGTAAGCAGTTAGAAAAGATTGGAAATAAATTCCCTTATAATGTTTGATCAACTTTAAATCACACAGTTATGAAGTCTACCGTTTGTAATGTTAATACTATTTTTACACCTAATATAATTGTATTCAATATTCGTGTAGTCGAGGTTAGTTGGGATTAAGTTTCATACTTTTGCTTAAATGTACAAGGGAAAATCGATAGAAAAATAAATACTCAGGTTTTTGTGCAAGTATATTAGTTTATATTTACCAGCATCCTTTAGACACCCTCAGTAATAATTTAAGCCATCTTTGAAAAAATGAATAACACATTGAATTGTTTCTCGATACATTTATAAAGATATCTAACCCTTAGCTAACGTTTATCATTTGTTATCAAATTATACCAGGTTGTTAGCGCAGAAGGTCATGTACGTGGATTATGTATAACACCTGAATGGGCATTGAATCCTTTACGTTTAAATGCAGTTCATCGTAATCGTGTAGAAGAATTCCCTAAATCACGATCGTTAAGTCGAAGTTTTCGATCACAACTCTCCATAACAAGATATCGACGTTCAGTGAATAGGAAAATGAAAAATAAGGAATTATTTTACCTAAATGATAAACACAATTTCATTGACGATAATCAACCAATTAATTCAAAAGATACAATTAGAAATGCTAGGTCAATTTTACATGGCGTAAGAAAACGTCAACAAGAAATTATCAAATGTGGTGAAAAAGTTTCTGATTTGGGATACCCAGTCTGTGCAGTTGTAAGTTGTGGTTGTTATTGTTGTTTAACAGGAGTGATTTTATATGCTGATAATGTATAGCTTTACATTAAACAATACTATTAAATAAGTTTAAGATCATATATTTTTAATTATAAGTAGTAACACAATAAATCTACTCGATAGCATCCATAAATCAGTTATAACTTTATCCAATTAAACAGTGGAATCCATGCCATTATAAAAGATAAAAGGGAGTATTGATGGTCATTTTAATAAACGGATATTTTAACGGTTAAATTCATGACTCGACCCAAGCTAGACCACCATTGAATTTAACTGTTAAAATACTAAAATCCCCATGCTAGTAAATGGGTATTTTAATCGCTGGAAAATTCCCATTATATTTGTTTGGAACTACGCAGAGGAGAATGGCATTGTTATTGATATCATCAAATCAATTTTCCAGCCACATTTCTTCTTATTTAGTTTTGATGTATAATGGTGCATCCGACGAATAGCTTTAAAAAAAAAACATCACTACCAAAATATTGGATTGTTAATGTAACGAAAATACATACTGATTCTACTCATTATTTGATGATTAAGTCATCTACATAGTTTGATTTTCTTAAGATTCATATATCTTTCTTCAGTATAATTATCAACATGACTTTTTTTTTAAAAATTCTGAAAACTTACTCCATTTTGTTTGCTTTTGTCATTTGTTATGCAATATCATAACTGTAGATGTTTGTAATGTGTAGGCATTATCCTTAATAGATCGATCAAATATAGACAACTTTTAAAAATGGGTGAGCAATACAGTTAGAAGCCTAATAATCAAACGCTCACTATGAGAGAATTGTATTTAGTTTGAATAAGTGGACCGATTTTTAATTTATTTTTCAGCCTTAGATATTCAAGGTTACAGTTAAAATGAACTCTCATGTGGTTTATCATAAATCTCTCTGTAACCATAGAAGAGCTTAGCCCAGAATTACTTCGTTAGAATAAAGAATTTATTATATACAATTACGTGACAAACGCCATCGCATTATCCACTTAACTACTGCGTCCAAATAGCCACTAGCTTTTGTAATGAGAGACTGGTCACATTGCAGTCCCAAAAATTAATGGGAAGATTCAAACAAACAATACAAAAATGAATTAAAGTTTTTTCATTAGGTTAATATTGTCGTAACTATGTTGATTGATTACATGATCACTTATTACTAATTATTATCGATTATGTTCTAAGTTAGATAACGTCAATTCATGAACTCAACGATGATGATAATAATAACAATCATTTATTCAGACAAATGCTGTTTTACCAGAATGAATAAAATATCTATAATTTTGAGTAAAATAAATTATTTCAATAGAATTTGATTGTTAAACCTTTATTTAAATTTAAGTAGCTTACATTTTATGTTTTTATTCACTTGAATTAATTAAAAAAATATATCTACTCAGTGTTTTGTATCTGTCAGATACTTGGAAATGACGTTAATCGGTTTGATTCTCTACAAATACAAACATGATAGAATATTGCAGTAATTTAGTCGGTTACTTGTATAAACTAATATCATTTTTCCCTGATTGTTTAATTACATAGATTACCCACCCTGTGCTTACACACACTTTTTATTGGACAATCTTGTTCAGAGCATAAACTCAAATAAATAAAATTGAACAGGTCAATTAATTTATGTCTATTTGTTAAGCACGAAACTAGACAGGAATAATGTGTATTTATCGCCAGAAACTACGAAGTATTGCCAAGATATATACACATGACCTTTAGCTTCATTTGCATCTTTTGTTGTGTTCTGACATCTGAGCTGTCTTTTTGTTTGGTTTCTAAGTGTTCTGCTAACGCCATGCTTTCGATTCACTAAGACTTTTCACTTCATCTGACAATCGTAGTAACTTTGCCGTCACATTTTGCTACACACTAAATACAAACAATCATGTTAGTAGCGTCCACTACATATGTAAATTGGAAATTAATTAATCGAAATATTCGACGCGTAACAACATTGAATTAATCATCATGGTGTTATCTGATGGGGAGAAAAACTAATCAAGAGAATGTATCTTGGTGTTATATCTAAAGGAAACTAAAAACAAACATACTAGAATGTGTGTAGAGTAGACAAAAGGAGATGAAAAAAATGGATAATTAAGACAAACACAAACTACAAAGAAATATTCACAAACAAAAGAATTTTCACAACATATATCACACATATATTTATGTGATTGGAATTTGTTAAACTACATTCCTAACACAGTTGCATATAACCTGATTTATCAATCTAAGAATTTTTTTTAAAAATATAGTCTAGGGATTTAGTTTTTGTGACTGAATGCTTGTTTTTAAATCGACACTTATTATTAAATATCTTGTTGACAGTAGAAAAAATGTACGATTGCCTGGAGAGTTTTTGTGTATTGAATGTATGTCAGACAATCAGCTGATAATATTAACAATTAAAAATTCAATAAAAGTAATTTTTTAATGAGTATTTTAAAACATTTTAATTTCTTTAATACTTGATTGCAACATTTATTATTATATACTTTTAACTGGCTAAAGAGAATTATCAAAGTAACATCATTACATTGTTGTTAAATTACTGAACTTACGTACACTTCATCCAAGTAATTGAAACACATGTTAATAGATCATAACCGTAAGCAAAGATTATATCATGAGTCAGTTGAAGCTAGACTACCATTGAAAACCTGGAAGCAGTGGACTGCCGTTTCGTCCTAGTATGGGACTCCTCAGAAGTGCGCATCCACGATCCCGCACCCCGCGGGATTCGAACCCAGGACCTAGTGGCTTCGCGAGCGAGCACTCAACCATTAGACCACTGAGCCGGCATCCAACGGTGTTAATGTCTAACTTCAACTAATTCACATATTTGAGCCATACTTCGTGGATTGGTTAGCCGTCCAGTGCTTCCAGGTTTTCAATGGTGGTCTAGCTTCAACTGACTCATGATTTCAATCTGTGAAAATTTCTAAAATCTCCACAAACCCCTTCTGATAAAGATTATATCACAATTAGCTGTACTGAAAACATTCTAGTTATTAAAATCTCTAATGTGCTGATGTGATTAGTGATTAACAACGTTGCAACGGGTGAGACTGCAGATTTAATGTGCAGCGTTTTGTCGATCGATCCAGTGACACGTAAACACGTAGTGAACGACTGAGAGTTCCGATTGGCCCTGCTTCGCTGTCTAGCCCAGCTAGTTGAATCCAGAACGCAAGTCACAGCCTCTGAGATATGAGTCATTATACTTCAGACATACTCTTATTTATATACTAATCAAACAAACCACATCGTACCATAAAATAGAAAACAACATTTGCACAATATTTAACAAATGAAATAAATATCGACCAATAGGGAGTATACATTTAAAGTCCAAAGCCACCATTAGACTTAATACGATAATTATTGGCATATTTTTCTGAACATCCTAACAAACAAGCTGTTGGATATTGGTCAAATACATGTGGATTTATAATCAAAATAAATTATTTAATTAATCACTAATGGATCCCAGCTGAATGGTCTAGAGGATAGGCGTTCACGCGAGACCGAAGGTCGTAGATTCGAGTCTCATCTGCATAAAATAAAAGATAATAACTATACAAGATCAAGTCAAAAATGGCTGTGAGTGTAAGAGACTGTAAATAACTAATTAGGAATAACTTGAGGATAGTAAGTCGTATAATAGTAGTCAATAGGTCAAATGAAAGTTTGTGATAAAAGAACTATGAATATATACACAATCTAGTTACTTAATAGCTATCCAACAGCAATATGCCTAATAATAATCCATAAATAATCCCTAGCAGATAAAATTCATTTATTCTTCGTTCGAAGATAACATCATGCTTGCAATGTAAATCAGACTATCAGAATTTCATTAACATAGAAAATATCCATATATTATAAAGACCTATTAAAGAGATTAATGATTCTTTCAATATTTTAAATATTTATGGGCTGTATTCTTATATGAACAGGTAAATTATGTGTTTGCACACTAACGCAATCTTTACCTTTTTTTACTTTAGTATTTAAATATTTTTAGAAGTAACTTAAAGTAAAGTTGTAAATGTGGTAATAATCATGTAGCTATGTAAAGTATTCAATAAAATGACAATAATAATCTCCACAACCCTATAGTGAAAATGACAATAATCAGTTGTTTCTTCCTCATAAAAGTTCATAAAGAAAGGATACATTTTAAAGAAATAGACAAGCCTTAAAATTAGATTCGAACTATTATGTACATTATTATTTATTAATTAAAATAGATAAAATTATATGATTTAAATTGTATAGATAACGCTGTAAAAAAGTGATAAACAATTTTTTATGGTGAAAAAATACTAAAGATTCGATATCTTAGAAGGGAAATAATAATGATCGTATGCAATAAAATAAGAAATATCAATAAACATATATTGAACCCATGGTAAAATCATTTCAATTTGTATTTTTCACTCCATTAGTAAAAATCAGTAGTTTATGAATGAATAAAGATGGCTGCCAGAATGAATGACTGATTGTTGAAGTTTAGCAATATGGATTTATGGATTACACTACATGGTTAATTCAAATATACAAATATCATTTATCTCCCGAGAACGAGAACAAAGAATGGGGATGACAGAACAATAAAGTCTAAGACGATTGACTAATATTTTGCAAATGAAGTATTTACTGTATGGTTCTCAAATTTTACTAAGATGATTCAAATACTTGTGTTCTCGTTCACTATATTGGTACTGTATTGTTTCGAACTCTGTCAAGGACACTGATAGCGTATTCTTGAGTACATTCAATCTCATAGCGTTCCAATTATAACAATCTTTCTTAACACATTAGTACACATTTTCAAAACAAGTTAACCAATCACTTACATTTAAATCTTTTTAATCTCACTCAAAAAATTTTCATCTCTAGGGATCAGGAATCATAATAACCATGCTATAAATATCAGCTCAAATAGACATATATTAAAAAATAACCGATTAAATTCAATTGCTTAAAATTATGTCAAAAAATTTTGTTATACAAATTTCCCAAAAAATTTAATTTATAGAACTATATCTGTTCAAGTAAAATTATACTAGTTGGAAGAAACACAAAATATCTTCGTTAATTATATACTGACAATAAAATATAATTCTTCAGTCGTTCCTATTAATCTTACATAATTTTCATTTAAATCGTTGTTTAACACTTTTCTTACATATTTTGTTAACACGTTTTAATGCAATCACATCTTATTTAAAACATGTTAAATGTTAAAAATAAACTCTACATAGGTCAATCACCATTGAAAAAAATTTTTTACAAAAAATATATCTAAGGAAAATTCGTTAATCTTCAAATGGTATAATTATCAGTAGATTTGAATAGAAGTAGCTAAGAGAATCTTCTAACTATTAACATTAATAACTTTATTCCGAAGAAAAGGGCAAAATAGCTTATACGTTGTTATTTTATAATAGATTCTGTAATTATTTGATATGCTCTTAATCCCTTCTTTGTATAAAAATTTATGTTTTTAGCATGTAAATCTATAAAGAAAACGTTTTTATTGATTAATTTACCTTACTGTAGTTGTCTGACTAAAAATCTAAGTAAAGGAAAATTCATATTTACCAAAAATAATGCTTAACATGACATTTTTAACTCAGTTTGTTATTTCCAGAGTTACCGGTATTATCTGTTATCCCAAAAATAAAATAAAAAACAAAGAAACCATTTATACCTACACTGATGAGTCACGTTTTTTGTAAAATATTAATATAATATCAAAAAGATATGTTACTCGACATTATGTGCTTTATATTGTGATGTTATGTAGTTGAAGGTAGGTAACAGGGGACTATGGACTTAGGTTTTGTATGATTTGGCACTTGTCAGCAAGGCAAACATGTAATCTTATAAGGTGCTTGTGCTTTCTAGTAAATTCAAACCTCTGTAGCTGTTTCGCAATCTAATGAGTCTTGACAAGCACGAGACATAGGTTCATAGTTAACTGCTAACTTCTTCCTAGCACACAACATCTTCATATAGTACTCGCCATGTCAAGTCACTTGGACTAGTTGCCATACTACAGCTTGATCGATGAAATTCGATTAACACTAAGTGACTAGATGAACATGATACTGATTACTATTCAGTGTTCAATCAGTTGCGTATTTCGGACTCGGAATGAGATTGCAAAATGCTTTATTTGTAATATTTTAGTTTTAATTTTTTCGAAATGCAAAGATTTTTTGTTATTTTACAATAATCTGTTAACGATATGAATTTCATGGTAGACTATATTTGTTAAACATTGGTTGTATTATTATGCTCATTACTATGTAAACGTCTTTGGTACGAAGTGACACAGACAGTAAAAGTAAATCACCTGAGTAGATAACCTAAGCAATAATGTTTATTAATTATTCATATTTCTATATTTTAGATAACATGTCGTGTGAATGGACTATCACGTGGTGATGCCGTACGTATTGTTTTGCGAGGTTGGATATGGGCTGATACATTTTTTCGTTATAAAATATCTGACTTTGCAATTGTCAGTGAAGCGAATGCTAAACTTGAAGAAACTGCTTTTGGTATAAAAATTGACAGTAATTTAACTATACAACCATTAGCTATATCACAGAATTTTGTATTTGAAGGTATTAATGTATCATTATTTCGTGAAATTCCATTATGGCCATTTATACTTGGCAGTGTATTAGGTTTAGCATTATTAGCATTATTAATATTTACAATGTGGAAATGTGGTTTCTTTCATAGAAAACAAATCTATGATGACCAATTTCAACAATATCCACATAATAATAACAATATTAATAGTAATGGAAACAGTATTAATCCAATATTTATTGAACCGAGAAAAATTTAATAAGATCAATATTAAAAAAAAATAGAAACAATAGAATCAAACAGTGTTATTCGTCTTCTGTATTCTCAATAGCCTTGTGACATATATACATATATATTTTGCTTTTAGTTTTTACATGTACAGTATGTTCAGCATTTAAGAAAAAATAGTTTAATTTCTATTTTCTTGGGTTCTTTCAATGTTATTCCTGGAAAATTTACTTGTACTTCATTTTATCTATGTTTAAACGTATCTAGATTTAAACATAATATTATGTAACCAAAGAACATGAATACATGTAATTTAATGTGTCCTATTTAAATATTGCAGCAAACATTGTCATATATGTATATTTAATATAAGTGTAAGAGTTTATTTTTTAAAACAAAATGTAAATTATGATTTATACCTTGAACATTTATTTCATTATAATAAATTACAAAAATATCAAATTCCTTTTTATTCATTGTCTTCTTGCTTTTATTATTATAATCATTATTACTTATTATATAGAAAAACATGACGTTTGAAATATATCTTTGGATTTTTTTCTAAAAGAAAAAGTTCAATATTCAATGTTGATAAATTTCTTATTTGTTTATTTTTAACAAAATTGGAGTAATTTTTCTTTCAATTTGTCAACTATGGTTACAATAAACAAATGTTTATACATAAACAAAAATAAATTTTTTTTATTATTTTTGTTGTTGTTGTTGTTTTGATGTCACTATGTATAAAATATGATTACACAATTTACACTTTCTTCATCTTATACTTTTCATTTTCACTTTTTTGTTTCTCGTTTATACTTGATGATTACCGAAAGTGCATTGAATTTGAATTATTGAAAATAAAATGTAATAAACTATTTCAGATTAATTTTGTAATATTTTTTACAGAAACAAAAAAAAAATTGTAAAAATAAAATTTTATCAAGTTGATGACAATTATGAAACATGTATCATAGTGGATTTGAACGAAACTAACAGTAATAGTTATTATTACTATTATTAGAAGTAGTAGTAGTAGTACTGTGTGAATATCAATTAAGAATCAGTTTTATATTGTTTTATACAATTCAATTCGTTATTTGCATTTTATCCTATTCATTTATAAATTAAATACAGTTATCAAACTGTAAATTTAAATATAATGTCTGTATGAGAATTTTTCTTCTCATGTTTAATCATGAATATTAAATTGAAAACAATTGAACGCAATTGAAAATTATGTAACACTTTAAAATGTAATTGATTACAATTTAGGGATTTATTAGTTGCTTACTTTATAAAATATGATCAAATATCTTCATATTACCTCTATAAGTGATTTTCTTTTCTTCTGTTCATATTATAAAAGTATTGAAATTGTTTTATGTAAATCTTTTTGTCATCAAATCTAAATATTAACTAACTAATTGTATTTTTAAAATTCATTTTTGTACATCATTTAAAAGTAAATTTGTCATAAAAAGTTTAATTTGTTCATTGTAACATTCTTTTTTCATCAACTAAAGACTTTTTTTATATTTTCCATATAAACACATTTCTATTAAGCGGATATGATTCAAATTGCTGGTTTGTGTTCTTTTTGAGATTTATTTATTTCGTAGTGTCGTTCAAATGCCATTCGATGAGTTTGATTTCGATTCTCGTAAGCCAAATAGTTCTCAATTTTTTTTAAACAGCAATCCAAAACATATTTATTTCACTTTCAATTTGTTTGAACTATACAGCCACGATTTTGTACTAACAGAATATTGAGAATGCTTTTGGAAGTAGATTGATGCTGATTACGTGATCATTATTAAAATAAGAGTTGTATCGATCAATCAATTTGAATAATGTTTACATTCAAGGAGTGATTATATTTGGATAACCAACAAAAATCGATCAAATGTCTATTCTAGTATGAAATTTTTTTAAGCAATTCACACTAACTATTCCACTGAGGATCGAATAGCCCCCTCTTAGATATTACAGTCCGATCAACTTGCATCGTTTCATGATATTGTAAAACCAGAATTCATTGATGTTGATGATATTCATCTTTATTCTTATCCTCTTTGAATCTCACTGATCACAATGAAAGTAGTCATTATAGACTTAAAACTGTATGAATTAAGTTCTCAAAATTATATAACGTTTCTCAATATTTTCCCCCCGATTAAAATATTAGGAATATACATATATAGGTATAGTATGCCTTTTTCATAAGAATTGATCCACTTAAAATATGAAAAAGCGTTTTTAATCAAGTTGCAATAGTAATTCATGTTTCATTTGAATTAGATTTTACAAATAAAAATAATTAAATAAAAGATAATTTTCTTTCAATTTAAATAATCACTAAACAAGCATATTTATTTAATATATTCCAATAGTTTTAAACATTTTACTAGACATAAACATATTGAACTAACAAACTTAGATTAGGTCAAATTGATTTTTTTTTAAAAACAAACAAAAGTATTTAAGAAGGGGTTTTGTGGAGATTTTAGAAATTTCACTGGTTGAAATCCTTAGTCAATTGAAGCTAGACCACCATGGAAAACCTAAGAGCACTGGAAGACCGTTTCGTCCTAGTATGGGACTACTCAACAGTGCGCGTCGACTATCCCGACCCCGCGAGATTTGAAGACAGTGGTATACCGTGGCGTAATTTCGTGGGTCGGTTGCAGTTAGGCATTAACACCGTTAAATTCCGGCTCAGTGGTCTAGTTGGTTAAGCGCCTGACGTGAGGCCGATAGACCTTGGATTCGAATCTCGCGGGGTGCGGTATCGTGGATGCGCACTGTTGAGTAGTCCCATACTAGGACGAAACGGCCATCCAGTGCTTCCAAGTTTCCCTTGACGGTCTAGCTTCAATTGACTCATGATTTCAACCAGTGAAAAATATTTAAATTAATGATTGAAACTTGAAATGAGAATAATCTATACACATGTCGTTTATGTTCATTTGTATGTTTTTGTTAAATTAAACAAAAAAAATCACGATAATTCTTCATTATTATTACCAATAACCTTGATTATTCAACCGTAAGCTAGATAAAATTGATTATGCTTACACGGTAATTTATTGAGAATCCCAAGTGAATATTACTAGACATTTTTGTAATCAGTTGATATGTGTTAGTTTAAACATGTTAAACGTCTATATAGATTATTGTTTGCAATTTTGATGTTTCACCTCTTTTAAATAACTTTTTGAATCTTCATGAAAATTTTCAGACTTGGTAATCTGTGCATTAATGTTGAAATTATCGATCTAGTGTCTAAAACTTATTAATAGGATAAAGATAAAAAACCTTCATACATTTCAATAGAAGAAAATCTTATTGACTCTTATTTTCTGTGTAACACTCCACTTTTTTCCCATCATTCGACATTCAACGTATAAGCTTAAGGAACTCAATAGTTGTGAATATTGTTGATGGATTCCCATACATTTGTTTTTGGAAATCATAATCTTCACCGATGAGTTTAGAGTTTTATCACATTTCAGTGTTTATTTATTGTGGAGTATAAATTTAAATAGCTTTATACACTATTGATGTGTTTTCCAAGATTATTTCGATCATGAAATGAAAATTGAAAGAGAAACATTGTAAAACATAAACCAACATATATTTGGCACTTTCTGATGCGAAGCACTTCAGCTGCATAGGTAGATGATCACATATACTGCGACAGAAATTTGAATGTTCTCGTCGAACTGTAGTCAATGAGGAACTAATTGACAGATTTCAAACACAGTAATTGGTGTTATCTATCCTAGGTCGACCCATGAAAAAACTGATAAATCCATGGAATAAATTTGCCTTCTGTCTCTAAGTATAAGAATATAATGACTCACAACTTTATATTATAGTTCATAGTTCAGTACTTAATCATTCATTAACACAGATTATGCGGAAACGTACAAGGGTCTACTAAAGTTTCTGGACATTATTTGTAAAAGAAGTACAACTGTAGTCATACTTTCAAAAGAATTTATTATCATATATAGCTTTTGACTGAAAAATGAATAACAATGTTCATTTTTAAAGTGACGAATGGTGTTTGTCAGTAATAATCTGACTGACTATATCAGTGTCATGATAAACATACGCAGAGAACACTCAAACACGATATATACATACGATTGGCAGCTGTCATTAGTAGCAATCAAGCTGGTCTGTAACATCAGTTCACGATAACTAGAAAATAAATGAACTTTAAGGAACTTTGCGGGCTGGTCCGTTTTGATAATATCGATTTGAGACATTAATATTGAACATTTTGTCTTCGGAATAGTTTGTAGGTTGGGTCAACAGTTATTAGAGACGTAGTATTAGTTCGATCGAGAAGTATCACATTGTGTTACATTCACTGTCGAATTAATCGATTGTGTAGTTAGAGTAAAACGTCATTACAGCTATGATTGATTTCATAATAATATTCATAAACATATTAAGAGTAAATTCATTATTAAAAGAAATCTCGAGAGGCCGTCTCATAAAATGTATGTTTATTTGTATACTCTAATTAAAAGTTCATTTGATAATGTTAATTTAAATGAATAAGAAAAAAGGTACTTAGAACAACCAATAGATAAAAACATTATTTTATGAACAATCGGTAAAACTGTAGTTATCTTTGTATTTTTGCAAATAAATATTTTTAAATCAAAAATAACTTGGTATGTAAGTGCTTTGAAGTAAATAATAACACAACTAATACTTTCTTGGATCGTGTTTTATTGATTCCGATGGATGGCATTTTTCCCTGTATTTTTCTAATGAATCTCTCACTGAACGATTACATGATTTTGAACAATCTTCACAAGTATTAGTCCAAGCTTAAGGGAAAAAAAAAGCAATGTTTATAAGTTAAAAGCACAATCATTGAACAAGAAATACTGAAGAAATAAACAAATAGAAGACATGTCCTCTACATTTGTAATTCAAGTATATTGTATACCATTAATTATTCTTAATGAGCCAACTAAAACCCCTTATGAATAGTTATACATACAATAA